CCCGGGTCTGATCCCCGTGGCGCCATGGCCCCACCGAGGCCGGGCGCACCCTCGGGGCCCCGGGCACTTCGGCTCTCACGCAGCTGAGTAGGGTGCAGCCTGGAGAAGAGGCCGGGGCCCCCTGGGGTGCAGGTGGGGGGGCCGGCGACATGGAGCCCCCGGCCGTCTCCTCGGAGAGGAGCCTGTCTTTGTCGCTGCCCGGGCCCCGGGAGGGTCAGGCCACCCTGAAGCCGCCTCCCCAGCACCTGTGGCGGCAGCCGCGAACCCCTATCCGTATCCAGCAACGCGGCTACTCGGACAGCGCGGAACGCGCAGAGCCGGAGCGGCCACCACACCGACCCATAGAGCGCGCCGACGCCGTGGACACTGGCGACCGGCCAGGCTTGCGCACGTCCCGCATGTCCTGGCCCTCGTCTTTCCACGGCACCGGCAGCAGTGGCGCGGGCGGAGGCAGCTGCAGGCGGTAAGACTACCGGCGATGGACGCGCGCGGAGCGGATAGGCGCCCAGGAATGATGCAACTCGCCCCGCTGGCCGCAGGGGGCGCTGTAATGCGGCTGGGGGTCAGTGTGACTGGCGGAGGTAGGGGTAGGAGAGTTCTACTGCGGGAGTAGCTGGGACCCGGCCCCAGGTACTGCACTGTATCCGAGGGTTACTGAAGCCCATCCTCAGGTTGACTTAGGGGGGCCATGCTGTGTGTGGTGATAACAGCGTCTGGGTTGAGGGCTGCAGCTTTAAGGGTCTGTATCCCTAATTGGTGGCAGTGCAGGACAGTGGCTAGGCTGGGCACGACTTCAAGGGACTTTCCTGGAAGCACTGTACTGAAAGCTAGTGTTTGGGGGTGTCCTAGGGGCACTCTTTAGGGGGGGCACCTGCTAGGACCAGTGTTTCTTCCAGGCTGAGGGGCTCTCAGGGTTCTAGGGGGTGGAGGACTATATGGAATGGGGGTATTTGTGGACTCACCCTGCAGCAGATGGAGTCAGAAATCCAGAGAGGGCCTCTTTGGGGAGCACGGTGTTGGGGGCTGTCTGCTAGATGGAGCCCCCTTCTCAGGGTAGGAGAGAGTTAGGTTCAGTAGCTGTGCAGCGGAGGGAGACATGCCCAGGGGGTGCATGGTCTCAGCACAGGGTGAAGGAACCCTTGCCTCCCCTGGTGACAGGGCTAGGGAGGGGTGTGTTGGGCTGTCTCTAACTGTAGCCTCTCACTGACCTGACATTGCTCTAGCTGTTGGGGTATGACCAGCTGTGGCTGCCTTGGCTGGGGAGGGCTTCTGAGGTCCTGTGATTGTCACCTGGGACTGTGTGGCCTCCCAGCACAGTGATTTTGTGGCTGTGTGCTTCAGGGACGGTGACTGTGCTACTGGAAGACTGTGACTGTTGGCTGTGTGTGCTCCCCGGGTGTGGTAATTGTGCTTCTGACTGTGTTGTTGGGATGCTGTGAGTGTGCCTGCTCCCATTTACAGTGATCATGACAGTGAGTGTGTGTGCTGCTGGGACAGCGACTGTGACCATGTGCATTCCTGGGGTGCAGTGATGGTGGCACTGCAATGTGTACACTCCCAGGACAATGTGATGGTGTCCGCAGGACTGTCCGTTCTCCCTGAAGAAGGAGATTGAGACATTGTGACGTGCTCTCCGCTGCCCGTGTGCCCCGTGTCCGGGAGTCAGTGCTCTGACTTTTGGGTGTGTTCCTGAGTGCCTGATGTGCTGTCCTCTACCCAGCTGGTGCTCTGATGGTGCTTGAGGTTTGACTGTGTGCGCTCTGGTGGCACGTGTGACTGACAGCTGTGACTGTGCGGTTTGCTTGCCCCCTCCTCCCCCCACAGTACCCCTTTGTTTGGAACATCATTAAGACATTTCAGCCGTGATCTCACTCCAGGAATTCCCAAGGGAGGTCCTTTTAGGCTATTGCCCTGCTTGCTGTTCTAGCTCTGGGGACCTCTAGCAGGCACCATCGCCCCCAAGGCCACCTCCACCCACCTCAGTGTGGGACACATCCAGCCATAGAACCTTTTCCCAGGAAGCGATTGTCATAGGCTGCACACACAGCCTGCTGTTTCCCAAAGGGAACTGGAGAGGAGCTGAAGGAAAACAAAACTGAATCAACAGGAAATGCCAAGACCAAGGGCAGCACGCCAGCGGTCACTGTCCTGAGAGACCAGGGAGGGGGTGGGGTGCAGTAGGAGGAACTGGACCCTAACCCCCCCCTTTTTTAAATCTTTAAATTCTTTATTAGTTAAGGAGTTACAAATGTGTCCTCATTCTACCCTATTAACCCCCATCCCCTCCCATGGACCCTAACCCCTTTTAAGGCCCCTCACTAGGACTCCTGCTAGACTGGTCACTGGGGTATTGACTCTTGGGGGACGGGACCGTGGCTAAGTGCTAATAATCATCATCTTAGTGGCATCTGTCTCCTAATGGCTTGCTCTTGGGTGGGCTCCATGTGGGGGAATTTTTCACAAGTCCTCATCCCCTGTGCCTTTTGAGGTATTCCTGTAGGACAGATGGGGAAACTGAGGCTTAGAATGGCAAAGACCCTTCTTTTGGCCCAAGCTCACATAACCAGGAAATGGTAGAGCTGAGATGCCCGTACAGGGTCGGTCTGACGGCCTGTGTGTCCTGGTACAAGGCCTTGCCCTCTCTGAGCCTCAATTTCCCCATTTGTAAAGTGGGACTGTTGTCAGCACTGCCCTCTGGGGGTTGCTTTAAGAGGTCTGTGAGATTGGGGATGCGTGTAAAGGACTTAACACAGTGAGTGCTCAGTAGCTAGTTACTCAGGGACCTGGATTCCGGAGCGGAGGTGGGGCCTGCATAGGACCTGCTCCTCCAGGTTGGGAAGGAAAAACAGGAACCTCAGCCACATCCCTCAGAGGCTCGGGTTTCTGTTTTGCTTTGGCCTGTGTGGCCTCCAGGGGCTGTGGCAGGAGGGAGGGCACTGGTGCCAGACCGAGAGAGGAAGGGGGAACTGAGAAGCCTCCAATGGGAACCTCACTTTTTAGAATGTGCCTTCGGCCAGTCCAGTTCTCTAGACGGGGCGGGGGGGGGGGGGGTAGGGTCTTACCAGTGCACACACAAGGTCTTACCAGTGCACACACAGGGGTTCCACCACTTCCCACGTTGGAGTTCATGCAGCCACCACAAAGGGGGTCCAAAGAGCCTTCCAGACTTGAGTCATAGGAACCCCCAGAGAGAGGGCCCTGCCCCCATCCGAGATGGCATCCACACCCCACAGGCCCCTCCGGACCTGGGGATGTATGAGACTGTGCTCCTGGCGCCCTGCGGGGCTGAGTCATGGCACCGCCACGATCTGTCAAGAGGCAGATGGAACTGGAGGAAGAGGACTCTGGTGGTTGGGGGCGGGGGGAGCTTGCCTTAATTGAGAGTGGAGCCAACGTATCGACTGCCCCACTTTGCGCCCTCAAACATTCCCCACCGAGGGGGTCGCTGCCTGGCTGCCTGGCCCCTGGAGGGGGTGGAGGCAGCCCGACTGGGGTCTCTCTCTGGCCGGTGGTCTCTGTGCCCATTTGGGTTCTCGCCTCCCCTTGTCTCCGGCGCTCCCAGGTCCCTGGATGTGTGCGGGGAGCGCATGTCTCCGCGCGCCCCCTGCTGGACGACGGAAAAGGCACAGGCCGGCTAAGTGTGCGCTCAGAGTCCGACCTGCCGCTCGCACCTGTCCCTGAAGAGCAAAGTCGCCGCCGCCGCCACTGCCGCGGCGCCCCGTATTATTATTTCATGCTTATTGAGTGCCTCGGAATGCGGGCGCCAAGCCGGCCGACCGCAGGCTACCGATGAGGTCTGCTCCTTCCCCGGGTGGGTGGGACCAGGCCGCCATCCCCATCCTCTACCCTGCCGCCGAGCGCGCTGGACACCGCCGCCTGGCGGATAGAGAGGAACTCGGCGGAGAAGTTGAGAACCCGGAGCTCCGGTCTGGCCTCCGCGGGCTTGTCCACATCCACGTCAGGGCCTCCTAACACCAACTTGCGTTTTAACTCCCAGCATCTTTGGCTTTGCATGCCTGCCGAGGAAACGGAGACGAAGTGGCTTGCCAAGGTCACACAGCCAGGAGGGCACGGGATTGGGGTTAAAAACCAGGTCTCCTCGGCTCCAGACCAGTGGGTGAGATTCAGATTGTGCCCCTGCCCTTTTGCTCTGTGTGACCTGGGGCCAGAGATCAGGCCTCTCTGGGCCTCCGTTTTGTCATCAGCAAACCGGCTGAATAAGATCTGCCGTGTTAAGGCTGAGATGGCTGACAGCAGGTCTGGGCGATCAAGAGCTGGTGTTTTGAGAACTGCACTTCCTTAAAATGACACCAGCAAAGAGAAAGGGGGTGTTCTCCACATCACAAGCCCAGGCCCTGGCTGCCAGGGCGTCCCCTCTTTAACCAGGAGCAGGTTGACTGCAAGCCCCTCTGAGTTGCAGAAACCAGGGCTTTGGGTCTGCAGGAGCCACAGACTGGCAGGGTGAGCACAGAGTTTGGGGGGCGGGGGGGAGGAAGCATCTGGACCCACTGTTTTCACTCTCGAGTAAAAAGTTCAAATCCAGCCTCTGCCCTTGACTTGTGACCTTGGGAAAGGACTCAACCATCTGAACCCCAGTTTCCTCATCTGTAACAGGGCTATTGATGGAGGATCTTCAGGCTGTGACATAAGATATGAGACAGATGTAGGCTGTGGCTCCAGTTCTCAGACTAGTGGGTGAGGAAGACATAGCAAATAAAGGAATAATGATAATTCCAGATGGTGACACATGGGACATGAAGAAAAGAGGGACCCTGGGGACAGGGAAGGCCTTTCTGCAGAGATGACATTTGAGCAGAGACCTAAATGAAGTAAGGGGGGGGTATGGTATGTGGCTGCCTGAAGGATGAGGGTGATAAGCAGAGGGAACAGCCAGTACAAAGTTCCTGAGGTAGGAATGTGTCTGATGATATGTTGGAAGAAAAGTAGTGAGCAAGGGGTGAGTGAAGGGAAATGAGGCAGGGAGGAGATGGGCAGCTTGTGTCAGGGCCTTGTAAGCCCTGTCAAGGTTGACTTCAGGCCTCAGTTTACCTCTGACTTCCTAGGAAGGGACAAAGTTCACTGGGCTGGAAGGGAACTGACCTGTGAAGGACCTAGTGGCTAAAATTCCAGTTCTTAGAGCCAGACAACTGAATTTATAACCCAGGTCTGTTCCTTCTGAGCTGGGTGATGCTGGCCAAGTCAGTTCCCCTCTTGGGGCCTTGGTTTTCCCATCTGTGAAATGGGCCTGTAAGGAATCTATTCCCAAAGTCTGATGTGCAGGATCAGCAAAACCATTCAGGGAAGTCTAAGGGCAGGTAAACGTGAATGTCTTTCCTAGTTCTGTTTGTACTTGGACCAAGAGGTACTGGTGGCCAGTGATGGGTCTTCATGGGTTTAGATCAGGAGTTCTCAGGTAGAAGCAATCTGTCCCCCCAGGGGACATGTGGCAATGGCTGGAGACATTTTATTGTTGTTTTTTTTATAAATATATTTTATTGATTTTTTAGAGAGAGGAAAGGAGAGAGATAGAGAGTTAGAAACATCGATGAGAGAGAAACATCGATCAGCCGACCCCTGCACATCCCCCACTGGGGATGTGCCCGCAAACCAGGTACATGCCCTTGACCGGAATCGAACCTGGGACCCCCCGGTCCGCAAGCCGACGCTCTATCCACTGAGCCAAACCGGTTTCGGCGGCTGGAGACATTTCAGTTGTCATGACTGAGAGGGTGCTTTTGTCATCTAGTAGGTAGAGGCCAGGGATTCTGCTTCTACTACAAGCACACAGGACCTCCCCCCAGGACAAAAGATTACCAGGCACCAAATGTCAGTAGTGCCCAGGTTGGGAAACCGTGCATTCCCAATGAGATGAGATCACGTCCATGGGTGTAAAATTTGGTTCTTGGGGTGGATGTTTAAAAAAAATTATATACAGCTCTGGTCAGTGTGGCTCAGTAGTTAGAGCGTCAGCCTGCACACTGGAGGGTAGAGGGTTCGACTCCTGGTCAAGAGCAGTACCTGGGTTGGAGGTTCCATCCCCAACCTCCAGTCGGGCATGTGTGAGAGACAACCAATCAGTGTGTCTCTCTCACATTGATGTTCCTCCCTCTCTCTCTCCCTTCTCTTCACCTCCCCCCTTTCCACTCTTACTAAAAAAAAAATATATATATATATATATATATACAAAGCCCCCATAGTCACACAGTACATAAACAAATAAATATACAGTGTATCTGTGGTATTAGCATTTTATGGAGGAGGTGAAGGGGGATGTCTAAAAAGGCTACTCCGTAGGGAAGCAATAATAAAATACAGGGTGACAAACACTGGTCTAGAGCCTGGATCAGCCACTCACTGACTGTGTGACTTTGAGCAGGTTCTATCTCCCCAAGATTCAGTTTTCCCATCTGTAAAATAGGGACAGTGCTAGTGTCACTTTGCAGGTGTTTTGTGAGGATTAAATGACATCATGGCTAGAGGCGCTGAATCTCAGGAAGCATTCTGAAGGTTTGTTGCTATGATCGGCATCATTATCATCATCATCACTGGCTAGTACAGCGGCTGGCACATTATAAGCTCTTCATAAATGTTTTGTCAAATAATAATAATAATTGTGACTAGCATTTAGTGAGTGCTTACTACGTCTAGAACCTTTTACTTGTCCATCCATGAGATGTGTAGTAGTATACCCATTTTACACATGGGAAAACTGAGGCTTAGTGAAATGAAGTGACTGTCTCAAGGTCAAATGACTAAGTGCCAGAGGCCAGACAAGCCTGGGCCATCTGACGCTAGGCCCCACGACAGTGGAGTCAACAGGTAGAAAGGTATTTACAGAGGTGGTAGCCTAAGACAGAGATTTGCCCACTTATTTAAAACAAGCTTCCCCAACCCCTAAGAGCCACAAACACGTCAGAGTAAGCTCCAGAATCATAACCAGTTGCCTGACTTTGTTCAAGGGTGTTCACCTCTCTGACTTTCAGTTCCCTCATCTGTGAAAGCGGGTAAGGAGCCCCCAGAGTCAAGTGGTTGGGCATGCAGAGCCACCTGGGGGTGGTGGTGGGAGAAAGTCCCTATGCCTGTGTACTACTGTGCCTGCGAGGGAGTCAGCACGGAGGGGAGGCTGGGTTCTTGGGGCCACCTAATGAGCTGTGGGGGCCCCAATTCTAAGGGGTGCCTCAGAAATTCTAAGGAGCGTCTTGGGGCTGTGAGCACACTCAGATCTCCTAGGGATGTCATAAATTAAGGGAGGAATTCTGGTGGGTTACCAAGGATTATGGTGCATCTTGGTTCTGGGGGTAGCCTAGGGTTATAGAACTGTCTTAGAAGTTGGGGAGGAATCTAGTTGTACTCCTGGGTTTTGGGGGCACCCCAGGATTTTTGTGGCATCTCCATGTTATAGGATCACCCCCTGAGTCTAAAGGTACTCCTGAGATTATGGGGGGGGGGGTCTCTGAATTTGTAGGAGCGTCGCAGGGATGCTGTGGAGCCACTCAGGGGTTGGGGGACCACTGAGGGACTGTGGAAGCATTCCTGGGGTCTGGAGGGACCCTAGGTCTTGAAGCCCCTCATACCCATGTCTGTGGGAATGGTTAGTGACTAGAGGATTCCAGTGGTACTCTGGGGGTCTCTGCATGAGTCAAAGATGGTGGGAGTGTTCTAAGGGGTGTGGGGGACATCTGGGGAACTGTAGCAGTGGTCCTGGGATCTAGGTGAAGGGGTTTCTCAGGGGTTCTCAAAGCATCACTCTCATTTGTAGGTGCATCCTGGGATTCTTGGGGTGCCCCTGAGGTTTGTGAGGATGTCTCACTAACAATGAGGACACTACTAGGGGGCACCTGGGTAGCTTTGGTAGTGTCCCCAGGGGTCTGTGGGGGCCCTCTCCGTACCCAGGGATTTGGGGATATCCTTGGGTTGTGTGAGGGCATCTCCGGGACATTGGGGGCACTCTCTGGAATTGTGGAGGTGGCTGAGGAACGTTGGGGACGCCCCTGAAGTCTGTGGGGTCTGGCAATACCGCAGGAAGTTGTGAGAGGCCCCAGAGATTGTGGGGGCGTGCCAGGTGTTTGTAGAGATGCTTCCGGAGATTGTGAGGACAACTGAGGGACTGCGGGGGGCGGGGGCCCTGAGGTCTGTGGGGTGTCCCCGCTGCAGCCCTGCGGGCGTCCCCGT